CCACCCCCTTCGCCCCCGCCCCAAAAGGCGCCCGAAAGCCACGGCCACAGCCCCCTGCCTGGTCCCAGAACCAAGCGCTGCCCCCGGGTGCAGAGAGCTTGCTGTGCCTCAGTTTCTCCATTCCCCCAGACCAGCTCTCCGTGCCCATGCCACCGTCCCGGCCCCCCACGGCATGGCCCCCTCTGTTATCCCTGCCTGGCGCTGGCCTCACAGGTGACGGCTATAAAAATGAACTCAAAATAAATACAAATCCCCTTGTCTGACATCAGGGAGGGTGACGGAGCCGGGGCAGGACAGCTGGCTCAGCCACCCCAAGACACCGGGCTTTGCCTGGTCGGTCAGGATCCAGCTGTCGCAGGCTGGGGACCGCACAGTGTCCCCAGCCCACGGGCAATGGTCTCAGCATGGGGGGGGGGACCTGCTCTCCCCAGCAGTGTCCCCCTTGGCACCCCAAGCCCCTGCTGGCTTTCCTCTGCCAGCCAGAAAAGCATTAAAGCTTGCAGACTTCGGCACCCATCGGTAGCACAAAATAAAGGTTGCAAAGCCAAGCAGCAAGGACAACTTCTATTTAAAAATACCTCTCATCTGGATGATTTATTTGCAGGGCGTTCCTGCCAGCTCCTAATGCAGCTCAGTCTTGGGCCCTCACCTACCTGACAGCTTCCCTTCCTCGTAGGATTATTTATTCGGGGCCGTGTTTGGCTGCCCGGCCATGCTGCGCGTAGGGCTGCGGCTCAGAGCTGCGTGGTCATGGCACGTTCCAAGCAGAGGGGCTCCTTCAAACCCTTCCTCTTCCAACTGGGACTTTATTTATTTTTTTTTCCCCTTTTCCCGTTAAAAAAGATATAGATATTCATCTCGGTCAGCCAGCTAAATAGGAAATGTGGAGGGGGCACACCCCACCCTCCACCCCGTGCTGCTCCCAGCAAGCCTTTGACGGCGTCCCCCAGCACGGGCGCAGCCCGACTGCAGCTTTACAGGAGTTTTGCTTCCAATCAGCCCTGGGAAGGGAAATAAGTGAACAGATTGCAATAAAAAAATCCAACAAGCCCAAATTCAGCCAACTGAGCCCAAAGCTGCAATTTAGCCAGGAGCCAATCACAAAGCTGCGATGCAAGCTTGTTTGCACTTAAACAAAACAAAATAAAAGAAAATTTAAAAAGCTTCAGTGCAGCGCCTGGGTGGGTGCCCGGGTGGGTGGGCAACGTGGCTGGAGCACTGCCGCAGCCATCGGTCCGGCTGCCCCTCGCCGACACGTGCCCCGGCAGAGCACGGCAGGGCTGGAGGATGCTCACGCAGCGAGAAGGCGAAGGCTGACATCTCTGGCTCCGCGGCCCCAGACGATTTCTCTGCTCTGATAAAGGCAGTCAGCCAGGGGGTGCGAGGCCATAAACAACAGGGAAATACTGGTCAAAGAGGAACAAAAATCTCAGTGTTTATTTCTCCTTCAGGCTGTGGATTATTATTATTTTCTTTTTTTCCCCTCCCCACATCCAGTCCACTCGGTTCCCTGTCCTTTCGGGAGCACTAAATTCATCATGTGAATGTAAAGCGGGGCTTGTGTGGGGAAGGGAGCTGTGGTTCGCTCGAGCAGATGCATGCAAGGTCACACGCAGCCTCACCATAAATTATAGCATGTCCCACCGTAAACAGCAACAGGAGAGGGGAAGCGCGGCAGCTTCAGGGGCAGCGGGCCGCAGGGGCCGATACATAACATCGTGACAAGTCAAACAACTCTCAGGGTGTTCACTTGCCAGAGAAATATTTTTCACATCCAATCCATTAGGCAAACAAGATGAAAAACTATTTCCTACTTTGCTGAAAAAATACCAGGACTCGGTATAAAGCGTGCCTTAAAAAAAAGAGAAAAGAAATTAAGTGTGACCACCTATAATGTTTTTTTCCAGCGGCTCTGACAGCCTTCCAGGCATCCTGGCTGTGCAGGGAGGGAGCTGACACTTTAAAGAGCTCTTACAGTTTCTCGCTTTTTGGCCCATCCCAGTGGTGCAGGAACAGTAATGAGTCAAATTAGTTGGAAAGAAACAACCCCAGAATTCACTTCCCTCCCTTGAAACCCCCTCCAAACCCCGCTTCACTGAACCAAACCCAAATCATTCGTTGCTTTTCTTCTTCCCCTTCCCTTTTCCTGCCAGGTCAGTGGGGAATGTGTTTCATGACATGCATTTTTTTACCCTATTAAATGATTCTTGACACAAGAAGATCCTCCCAAAGTTTGCCTTTCTCGCTGGCTGGCTTTTCTGATAGTTTTGGACATGTGAAAATCCAAAGGGAAAAGGCTTCTTCCAACAGTTTTGACCACTTCTAGTACCGGCAACTGTCTCTGATGGGGAGACAGAGGGGAGCGGTGGAAGAGCAGCTTCACAGACTGACTCCTCAGGAAGACGCAGTCCTCAACTGACTGCTGGGAAAATGAGCCTGTCGAATAAAATGGATCACCCCAAACACGAGTTGTCTTTCTACTAAATTTTAATTTATTTCTTTTTTTTTGACAAAGACATCTAAATTATACACTGAGTAACAACGTGACCAGATATTGCAAATACCCCTTTTTGGTGAAATTCAAAAAGGGAACATAAAAGAAAGAGCTTGTGTGGACCCCGCCAGTCCAGGGAATGCAACAGCCACCACCTTTTGCCTTTGCAGAAGAGCCCTGTGGGGCAAGGGGGAGTTAGTGGGCTGGTCTCATCCCAGTATGCTTAATAAAAAAGTCTGGTGATCAGTTACATTTTCAACAGAGGAAAAAATTCATTAACATGCAAGAAGAGGTATTGGTAGGGGGAAAAATGGGAGGTTGCATGAGGCTTTGGCAGGCATTCTCTAAGGGCAAGAAGAGACATTCTCCATCAGAGCTGCAGTGGGGGGGACGTGGCTGCAGCTGGAGGACAAAAGTCCCCAGGCCCAGCGATTGTGGTCGGAGCAGGGGCTTGGACCCACGTTCTCTGATGTGCCCTTGGAGAATGTCACTTCTCCATCATCTCTTCACCCCCAGAGAACACAAAGGGGCAGGAGAGACATCTTTCATCTATCTCAAAGGTAAAACCAGATTTAATGATGTGAAAGTAAAGCGAGACAAACTCCCTACAGGAGGGGAATTAACCCCTGCGACAAACTTCTCGAGGCCTGGGGTGAATCTGTCTGTCACTCCGAGCCTTTAAATCAAGGCCAGGTGTCTTCCTACCAGAGGTGCTCTAATTCAACTGCAAGTCACCGCACCAACGGGGTGGCATTTAATGGGCTGTGTTATGCGGGAGGTCAGGAGAGAGGAATGTAACAGTCCCTTCTGGCTTTAAAAAAATCTATGAATTGATGCGACGTGTGGCAGAGCTCCACCCATACCAATGAGACGGTTTGCTTCCCCTGAATCTCACTTAAAGGAGGGCAAAGCAGACAGAGTTGGAAGGACAAAGCCTTGCATATGCAATTGCCATAAACCAAACAGGAGCTGAAGGGCTGGGAGAGGAGTAGGGGTTTCGTTGAATGGCAGCAGGTGGTTTTGGCTGGCCCCGGCCAGTTTTACGGGTGGTATTTAGCCAGGTGCTGTCAAGGGAGGAGAGCCCTGTAGAGGGTATAGCAGATGTAAATGCACTCACATAAGGAGCAGCAAGTGAACAGAACCTCAAATCCTCTTACATTTTCACCAGGTCCATGCACAGAGAGATGTTTACAATACAAAGAGCATTTACGGCCATGACTGCAGGGTAATTTACTTAAGTAATTTTAACCCTCCAACTCCATCTTCCCAGCACACCTCGCTCTATCATGGTCTTCCTCTCTTACTACCTGGCACAGGTAAACCAAATTAATCTACTGGATTACAGGTGAAGCTCTGGCTGGTACAGATGCACACAACCAATATGTGTAGCTACTCCCAAACATAACGAATGAGCCAGCAAACACTTCTGGATCCTGAGTTCAGTAAGGCAATTTTTCCTTCCAAACCAGAGCAATAGGGAAATTACTATATATTTACTTTACACAAATTTCCAAGTTTAACCAATGTGTGCCTAAAAAATCAAATTACCCTCCTGGATGCTTTTTGGATCCAAAAAGCTAACTGTGGCACAGGTGGGGTGTCACAGGGTAAGTTTGCCACTGGTAAAAAAGTAGGGAGCAAGGAAGCACCAAGTCAACTCCCTTGCAAGTGAGAAGGATCAATGCCCAAGCCCTCAAGGACACTTTGCTCTGTCCTGTCTGGGCCAGGGGAGGGGTATCCAAGAATTTCGCTCTGCATCTGGCATGCAGTGCAGGCACATCCAAAGCTCCGGAGTATCTGTCACAAAGCTCTGCCACTCAGCCAGCACAAAGCATGCCTACAAGAAAGGGCTGCAATTCTTTACACTGCTTGCATCAGGCAAATGCATTAATTGCAAGGAAAAGGTGATGCTAGGATGCATTTCTCCTCCTTGGGCTGGCCCAGGTGCTCAGATTCCTACCGTTCCTGGTAAGCTGTTGCAGCTGGGGAGTCACTGAACCAGCTATGTTTAAATGAACATCTCTCCTCATCTTATGACTCCTTACTCAATCCATGCAAAGCTGGAGCTGTGTCACTTTGTGTCATTAGCAATTGCTTAACAGCTCACTTGAGCCTGCTCTTCCCCCCCAGTCGTCTGGTTTTTAAAGCAAGGCTGTGCTACTCCGGCATGCATGTCCTGCTGCGGTGCTGGAGACAGATGCACTCGCAGGGTGCTGACTCACGGAGGCAGGCAGATTAAAGTTGGATTGCTAAAGCAGTTGCTGTCCCAGCTGTCCCTCTGCCCCCAGCCACAGCAAAGACAGCTGAACTACAGGCAGATCAACCCCTGAACCGCTACTGTACATCCTGATGTATGGGGGGACCCGGAATCAGCCCCAGATGATTTTAATCTGCCGGGCTGCAACACGTAGGCGGCCAAGGGCTGCTTCACGTACAGTGCAGATGTTTCTGCTGTGAGGTGGAGATGTTCAGGGGAAGGGAGGAGCGAAGAGCTGGGAGCTCCAGGGGTGTCAGCCGTCTGCCTGGGTCCATGAGTCAACTCGCTGACGCGTGGTAAAGCCACATGCTTTAGTACATGCAGCTTTCCCCATACTGCCCGCCGGTCCGTCTCCAAGAGGTGGAAGGGGTAATGCAGTCCCTAGTCATTCTCTGGCCTTTCGCAGGCAGGCAGCAAACAAAGCTGGCAAGCAGGGCAGTGGGATTATTTTACCATCTGTGCATTACAAACTGGCCCAGGAGTCACCAAGCTCGCTTCATGCAGGACATGGCTGTTTTGGCGTGCTAATGACTCCTGCTCACTGTCAGCTGGGGCTAGATTTGAATCAGGGATGAGGAGGTGGAAAACACAATTCTCTTCCCTATTTCAGCAACTGCATTCTTTTAGAGGAAAGCCAGTTCGGGGAAGAATGAATCCTCGTTCTAAAGAGTGCTTCCCATCTGCCGATCATCAGGCTCCTACTCTCCACCAGGGCAATCCACAGACGGCACCGGGCTGGGGGACCTCAGGCCCTGGGAAGCCAGCCTGCCATAGGGCAGTCCCCCAAGTCCCTCGAAGGGCTAGGCAAGGCCTGCTGAGGAAGGGGGTTAGGGGAATATATTTTGCACATTTCAAAAAGGAAACCTGGGACCTGGTATCTCATTCTAGAAAGTAATCATGGACTTAATTGCATTTTGCTGCAGAGTTGCCTTAACATCAAGGGAAAATCAACAGGGATTGTTCAACATCAAGACTAATCTCACATATGGAACTTACTGAACGTAGGAAGAACGTTTTTGCTGGCTCAAGGTGAAATGCTGGGCTAAATTCTCCTTCAGCTGCGAGAAAAGCCCTAGGCATGCTCATGCTGCATTATTCCAACTGTAAAGAGCTTCAATTATACACATATAACCCTTCTTTCCCTTCTACAGCGGTGTCGCAATGCAACAGTGCCTCGTTATGATCAAACTCCTCTTTTATGGCTATAGGAATATGTGGAAGTCTTCTACCCTCATTACACAAATGACTCCTTAGCAGCTTTATTTTAAGAAACTACCCACAATTGGTAACACAACCGCATTTTATCTGTCACTGAGGGGAAGCTGTGACTGACACCTGAGCATGTCCTCAGCAACCACAAACCCGCACATATAGGGCAGGTCCTATGCATCTAAGCAACTACAGTAACTCACCACTCCCTCTGCTCCACACTGAATCACAGTCTTCCTTCTGCTTACAAACTTGCTTGCTAATCAGACATTTAATACTATATATGCATAGGGAGGAAATATATAATTCTTTTATTGGGATAAAAAACGATACTAAAGAGCGGGTCAAGTTCCAAATCCAGCAGTAGGTTTTAACCGATGTTGTTCCCTTTTTTCTCTCTTTTTTTTTTTTCTTTTAACAGCTGTAGCTGTGCACAGATGGAAAAACATTTGGTCAGAAAGCAGCAAATTAGTGTTTTCAGGCTAGAATTCTGCTCCCACCGCTCCTCCATTTCCATGCAGCTCAGAACGCTTTATTTCTTCTTAGCATTGACATTTTTGCACACCCAATTCATGCCGTCCTTCAGACAGAGAAAGGTAATGTTAGTCAAGCAAAGGGAAAAGGAATCCCCCAATCCCACCCGACCGCCATTCTGCAAGCACTGTGTTCTGCCTCCTCATCTACACCCCACCTGCCCTCTGTGCCCAAAACTGCTGTGGGTTAAAAAAATAAGTGCTTCCTTGCTCAGTAGATGTTGTCACACAGAGGTTAATAAATCTTTCATCTGACCATAAAAAGTATCATTGTCTCATCATGTCGCTATGTGTAGGTCCTTTGAGGAAGGATCACTTTGCAGTCAAGGTACGTCAGTGGCAGATGAAGGCTCATTTCCAGGTTCAGCTACAGATGATTTGTGTAACCTCGGGCAAGTCATCTTATCTTTGAGACCATGGATTTTAGGTGGCTGTTTGTTATACAGTCAGCTCCCTGTTAAGAATACAGCTCTAATTCTCTGCTCAGCTGCAAGCCTTGAACTCCAGATCCATGTAAGCCACTGCAATAACTGGACCTGGACCCTGCTCCCTTTTCCTCAGGGCCCCCACAGAAAATGGGCCCTCAGGGGTCCCACAGGAGTTCAGTGAGAATAGATGTGGTCACGTTTTAAGAGGCTGATAATACTCTTCAAAGTATTTCCATAAAAATATGTGCACAACATCTCTGACCACTGCAAGCAGGATGGTAACACTTGTGCTGTGAATACCCAAATCATGAGTTTATTGCTGAGATCCCAGAATGGGATATGCTATTGAAGGGCAAAGCGACATTTTACCTGCTCCTCTCACTTATCTGTTGTGAGACGCATGCAACAGAATGCAAGATGCACAATCTCCTCATATTTGTATCCCATCAAATCAATTACCTTTACCCTGCCTACGAGGTACTTCTGCCAACAGGGAGGGTCAGGGCAGAAAGAAGGCAGGTAAGGTTTTGGGGATGAGAGGAGAGTGGCACATCTTTGTGCTTGAAAATCGAGCAAATGTCACCTTGGGAGTTCTGGAGGGGGGATTTCACTGTATTAGGTTCAATGGTCATTTTTGGATCATTAAAACAATAGTTAGACCCTAAGAAACACCAGAGCGTTTGGGCCAGCATCGCTGCTAGCCCCATGGTAGCAGTGTCGCTGGCTTCCTATGCCCTTGTCCCCAAACTGCCAGAAGGCTGCCAAGGACCTCAGCGCCCCAAGGACAGATGTCCAAAAGCACAGCACAGCAGGCCCTTGAGGTGAGCTGAGACCCACTGCCATGCCTCCATGTTGTCCCTCAGCCACAAAGGTGGTGGCCATGTTGGAGGGGGAGTTAAAGAGTTAAGAGAGAAGAGAGGGAGTCCTCAGGGCTTAATCAGAGGCAGAGAGGTTCTCACTTGAAAATACCAATTCACCTTGATAGCTGCGCTATGTGACACTTCTTATCTGAAGGGGAGCAGCAACTTCTGAAATCAGCCCTTGTTGCTGCATTAAATAAAGAATAAAAGCAAGCCCAGCTTGTCCTGGGGTGCACATAAGGCCCTACACTAATAACACTTCTAAC